TACCTACACACGCACCCAGACACACCTATTTACACTTACACTAACACACACCTATCTACACACGTACCTACACACACACCCACACACCCCCATCTACACACCCCTACCTACACACGCACCAACCCACACCCACCCACCCACACACCCACCCTGGGGACTGTAAAGGGGCTGCCCCACGGCACCGCGATGGGCAGGGAGGGAGGGATCGGCCCCCCCCCGGATGGGCATCCCGACACGCGTGTGCGCTGACGTGACAGCACACACCTACCCTCACGTGTGCACGCACACAGAGGACATACCCCCGTGCGCTCGCACCCACGGCGTGAGCACACACACGTGTGCTCACAGCGATAGCGGGCACACATACACGTGTTCACACCCACAGTGTGAACATACACATGTGCTCACAGCTATAGCGGGCACACACACGTGTGCTCACACCTGTCACATGCTCACACATGTGCTTACACCCGTAACACCCTCACACACACGTGCTCACACCCTCAGCACTCACACGCACGTGGTCACACCCATGACATGCTGACACGCATGCTCACACCTGTAACAGGCTCACACACATGCTGAGACTCTCAGCATGCTCACACACGTGTGCTCGCACCTGTCACATGCTCACAGATGTGCTTACACCCGTAACACCCTCACACACATGTGCTCACACTCTCGACACTCACACGCACGTGGTCACACCCGTAACATGCTGACACATGTGCTCACACCTGTAAGAGGCTCACACTCTCAGCACGCTCACACACGTGTGCTCACACCCGTAACATGCTGACACGCGTGCTCACACCTGTAACAGGCTCACACACGTGCTCATACCCTCAGCACACTCACACACGTGCTGACACTCTCAGCACACTCACACACGTGTGCTCAGACCCGTAACATGCTGACAAGTCAGCTCGTGCGCTCGCACCCACGGCGTACGTGCTCATACCCTCAGCACACTCACACACGTGCTGACACTCTCAGCACACTCACACACGTGTGCTCACACCCTCAGCACTCACACACCGCACACCCCCCACCGCGTGCCCACCCCCACCGCTCGCACACCCCCCGTGCAGGCCCGAGCACACCCTCACCCGCCCATCCCGGGCAGTAACACGCACCCACACGCGTGCAAGCACGAACCCACCCCATTTCCCGCTCTCCCCCCCCCACAAAAAACCCCTCACCCTTCCAGTTGTAGGTGCCGGGGGCCCCGAAGAGCACGTAGTGGTGGTCGGGGGAGAAGGCCGCGGCCAGGCCCTGCTGGCAGGAGCCGAAGCGGTCGTGGCCCTGGGGCCGGCCCTGGCAGAACTTCCACTCGCCCCCGTCCAGCTCGTCCCGCACCCGCAGGTCCTGGCTCAGCACGAAGCAGCGCCCGATCACGTCCCGCGTCTCCAGCGGCTGCCGCACGCGGTGCCGGGCCTCGTACCGGTGGGCGCAGGTCTGCGTGAGGGAGAGGGGGGTGGTGGTGGTGGTGGGTCAAGGGGTGGTGGGCACCCTCATGAAACCACCTAATGAACGAAACCTGGGGAGGAATAACCCCCTGCACCAGGAGAAGTTCCCTGAGGAGAAGGACTTGGGAGTGCTCTGCACTGGTGAGGCCCCACCTGGAATAACTGTGTCCAGCTTTGGAGTCCTCAACACAGAAAGGACATGGACCGGCTGGAAAAGGTGGGCCACGAAGATGATGAGAGGGATGGAGCACCTCTGCTATGGAGACAGGCTGAGGGAGCTGGGGTTGTTCAGCCTGGAGAAGAGGAGGCTCCGGGGAGACCTAAGAGCAGCCTTCCAGTACCTGAGGGGGGGCTACAGGAAGGCTGGGGAGAGCCTGTTTAGAAAGGGCTGCAGTGACAGGACGAGGGGCAATGGCTTCAAGCTGGAGGGGAACAGATTGAGACTGGAGATGAGGAGAGGGTTCTTCACTGGGAGGGTGGTGGAGCACTGGGACAGGTTGCCCAGGGAGGTGGTTGAGGCCCCTTCCCTGGAGATATTCAAGGGGAGGCTCCATGGGGCAACCTGGTCTAGTTGGGGGTGTCCCTGCTGACTGCGGGGGGGTGGGACGAGATGCCCTTTGGGGGTCCCTTCCAGCCTGGGCAATTCTATGATTCTATGATAAGTTGGAGGTTGACCTGCTGGAGAGCAGCTCTGAGGAGAAAGAGGTGGTGTTGGTGGACAACAGGATGCCCATGAGCCAGGGATGGGCCCTGGTGGCCAAGAAGGCCAAGGGCATCCTGAGGGACATCAAGGAGAACCTCGAGGGAGGTCATCCTGCCCCTCTGCTCTGCCCTGGGGAGGCTCCAGCTGGAGCACTGGGACCAGTTGTGGGCTCCCCAGTTCCAGAAGGACAGGGAACTGCTGGAGAGGGGACAGCAAAGGGCTATGAGGATGATGAGGGTCCTGGAGCATCTCTCTTAGGAGGAGAGAGAGGCTGAGGGACTTGGGGCTTTTGAGTCTGGAGAAGAGAAGACTTAGGAGGATCTAATCAACACCTATAAATACTGAAAGGGAGGGTGCCAGGAGGACGGGGCTGGTCTTTTTTCAGCGGTGCCCAGTGACAGGACAAGAGGAAATGGGCACAAACTTGAGTATAAGAAGTTCCACCTCAACACGAGGAGGAACTTCTTCCCTGTGAGGGTGGCAGAGCCCTGGCAGAGCCTGCCCAGGGAGGTGGTGGGGTCTCCCTCTCTGGAGACATCCCAAACCCCGCCTGGACAAGTTCTTGTGGGACCTGCTCTGGGTAGACCCGCTCTGGTGGGGGGGTTAATGATCTCCAGAGGTTCCTTCCAACCCCATATGACTCTATGCCCCCCCCCCCCACCTTCCTCACCCCCCATCCCAGTGCTCACCACGATCTTCCCTCCGGCTCCTTGGCTCTTGACGCTGACCCCCAACCACTGGTTCTCCTTGCTCTCCCGCTGCAGGTCCACTGGAGGGGGGGACACACACAAACACAGAGGCAATGTCAGCCCCCCGGGACCCCCAGGGTGGGGAGCCAGGGGTGGGGGGGGGCCCACACACACGCCCCCCCAAAGCAAAACTCACCTCCTTCATCGATGGGCACCCGCCAGCAGTCGGAGATCTCGGGGGTCAGCGGGCAGGCGAAGAGCCCCCCGG